GTGAGTGTGATAGATGTGTGTAGGAGGTGCCTCTATAACTGGCCAGTACCTGATTTTTATAACACCTAGCCTACTTGTCTGCCTACATCTGTCTATCAGGATGTGTGTGTCTGTGTGTGTGTGTGTGTGTGTGTGTGGCAACTATCTGTCTTTCTGTCTCTCTGTATGTATATGCTGCATCTTCGTCAGATGTTAATGTGGCTGCAAGACAAAGGAAAGTACAAACAGACAAAATTATTTCCATATCTAGTCATCTAGTTCGCTGGAAAGCTAAATAAATTATTTAAATTAATGTAAGTCATAGAAATTTACATCAGGACCACTGACAGAAACTTTTATTCAAATGCCTGTATGAATGAATGAATGAAAATTGGAATATATATATAAATATGAAAAATAACTGCTGAATTTACAGATTAACAAGAAAAGTTTGACACTGTGGTTCTATACTGTGGCAGAGCGGTAGGCTTTGAGGTAAAATGCAAATGTCAGCACGCTAACACGCTCACAGTGACTAACTGACACACTATACTATGTCTATACTCACACACTGATGTTTAGCACGTAATTATCACAGACACAGTACAATGTAACAAATAACATAACATTTGGTAATTAGCACTAAACACAAAGTACAGCTGAGGCTGATGGGTAGAAGTACAAATGCATATGTCAACCTTATGGAGGTACCAGAAGAAAAGTCAGGGGATCACCAAAGTCATCAGGTTTCTTCCTCTGTGGACCATACATGTCTGGACACAATTTCACTACAATCCATCCAATAGTTGTAAATGATATTTTATTCCTGACAGAAGTTGTGGATTGAGTGACATTGTCCTCCAAAGAGTCATGCCACTTTCATGGCAAACACATATACAGTACACCAGCCTCTTAAGGTCAGATAATATGACCATCAAGATATCTAAAGGCTTCCCTGGGCCCCACAGATGCACTAAAGCCACACTAAACATCTTAACAATCGATTTCCCCACATTTTATAGTACATCTCTGTTTAACAAAACTGTTGCTTCAGTGCTACAGCAGTTGTAAAACAGTTTTTTGCTGTGGCAACAAGTAGGTTGACAGAAGTGCTTCATGGCATTATTAGTGAGACAGGTACAGTATTTAGTCACATTAGTTTGTTTCAGCCATATCTAAGGGCCCATTCAGAAACATTCTCTTTGGCATATCTAAAGACATCCAAAAAAAAAAACTTGTGTTGTGTGCACTTACAAAGGCATGTTATTTATATATTGAGTTCTTTAACACTGCTATGCTTTTGTATGTTTTTGTTGCACAACTTACAAAACTTCTGATTCACCTGTATATCTCTACCATTGATCTTTTTAACATGCAATCATATGTTGTACGATCTTAATGAAGGCGGCATCCAGACCAACATTTGTGTCATTAAGTATTGATGTTTTCAAAGTATTTAGGTATGAATGTGTGTGTTTCAGTTGTTGGCGGTGGTGTCAGAGCTGGAGCGTCAGGGCTTGACTGTTCTGGTGTTGGGGAGGAAACACATGCTGTGGCCCTCTGTATCTTGGCCCAGACACCACATGGACCTTATCTTGCAGAAAGCTCATTGCTTCTTCACTGAAAACATGTGAGCACCTGATGATAATAAAAAGGAATAGGAATGATATATGCTCCTAAAAAATGCATAAAATGCTCTTCACACAGAATATTCACTGAGAATGTTTAAGGAGCAGAATCTTTGGGGAAAAAAGGGGGAATGTCATATTATTACAATTAATCCCTTGTGCATTTATTGAAAGCTTCTCTAAAATCAAAAGGTTTTTGGTCTGCTATTTCCTCTGTTCATTTACAACCTTTTTGTTCTTAACAGAATTTATTTACAACGAGTTTACCTCACACCTTTACTCTATGTTTCTATCAGTTCGGAGGATGACCCCTTCTTGCTGTATGCCACTTTGAATTCTGGGAAAAGCTGTCGGTTTGTGACTAGGGACCTGATGAGGGACCACAAGGCCTGCCTGACAGACATGAGCACCAGACAGCTCTTCTTCAAATGGCAGAGAGGCCACCAGCTGGTATTGAATGGACCTGTCACCCCACGCAAGAAAGTCCGATTTCAGGTGAGGAAGAGGAGGATCAGGCAGTGGAGAGAAGGTTGTGAGGGGAGATGGTCGAAGAATACCAATTAACTCTGTGTGTGTGTGTGTGTGTGTGTGTAGCATATTTTCAGCTATGACACCATTGTCCAGACTTCAGGGGACTCGTGGCACCTTCCCTATGACGACACAGTGGACAGGAGCACCCATGAAGTACCACAACAATGGCTCTGCCTCACCAAAAAGCACTGAACATGCACAAACTCATAACTCATATGCTTTGATAAACGACTCTGGACCTGTAGAAAATAAAACATTTACCAAAAAAAAACCAAAGTTGCCAGCACTCTTTAATTTAAATGTCATCCATGGGAAAAATAATCTCACTTGATTTTTAGTAATAATAATAATAATCCTGAACACCTGCAGCTCATTACAACAACACAAAGTAGCAGCAGGGTTGTAGTTGTAGTCAGTTGTGACGTCCGTGAACTACAAAGCTGTGAAGTTGACCCGGAAATGAAAGCCTTCAATCGGGCAGATCATATCCGGTGCAGATGTTTTGCCTCTGTTTCCTCACAGTTTAGTTTCAACTTTCAGTTTAAACCAGTGTTTACCTCACTTATTTTCATCCGCCATGTCTCGGGGATCAAGTGCAGGGTTTGACCGCCATATCACCATCTTCTCTCCGGAGGGAAGACTCTACCAAGTCGGTGAGTGTGAAAGAAATGAACACAACTCAACCTGCTCTGTCATCACTACTGGCTAACAGGCTAACATTAGCTACCAGCTGCTCTGTATAGCCCATTCATAGTCCAGTGTTATTTAGAAAGAATTTTATTTTAGTACGTCGTGGTAGGGTGGAAATGTGTAAGAAATATAGTATTAACTTGAATTGGTCATAGTTAAGTAGTAATTAATTAACAGGTTCGTTTTGTTGCAGTTGTGCTAGCTGCCTTAGCTCGCTTAATTTAGCTGTGGTGTGCTACCACTAGTTAATGTTTATATAAATAAACTTTATTTATTGGAATTTATTTTAATTTCTTATTCAGTTAATCTAGAAAACCAGTTTGTAGCACACTATTAACCCATATTCTCACAATTCGTCTTCTCTTTAACGTGTCATGATGACTGAGCTGTATTAATTGTTAGCATCAAACCTTGTCAAAAGAAAACCTGTGACAGTAAAATACCACTATCCATATGTCAGTCGTCAAATCTATGGACAATTACATGCGAAACAACTGCTAAGTAGTCTGAGTCCTTATTTAAAATAGAAGCCCACAATGCTAAAAAAAAAGGTTTGCAGTGCACACTAGGAGCTCATGAGTTTATTTCTCTTCTGTTCCTCAGAGTATGCCTTCAAAGCCATCAACCAGGGAGGACTGACATCCGTAGCGGTCAGAGGGAAGGATTGCGTTGTGGTTGTCACACAAAAGAAAGTCCCCGTCAGTATACGCATACATATTATAAACACACAGAAGTTTGTGTTTCTTTACAAAGCATGTGGTCAAATTCCACAACTGTCATTATAGCTGTTGTCTTACTGGTGACGCACGTGTGTGGTTTACATTTCTCTTTTGTCTTTGTCTGGCATTTTTCTTAGGACAAGCTGTTGGATGCCTTTACGGTCACACATCTGTTCAGAATTACAGAGAACATTGGCTGTGTTATGACTGGCATGACTGGTAAGCGATCCAACTGATGGTGAATACCCCAAATTTGAGGCATTTAATGGTTGAGGTTGAGTTTCCATCAAGAATCTTTGAAGTAAAAGTCCAGCTGACTGTTTTTTTTTTTGTTGCCATATTGTCCTGTTGCTAATGTTCTCATTCAGAGCTAGTAATGTATCCGTCAATACAAAAATAATTACAAAATTATTGGCTAATTGAGAAAAATGATGATGACAGATTAATCGATAATGAAAATAATTGTTCCAGTAGTTCCAAATGCGTTGTAGCTAGCCAAATTTAAATCTAAGACTCTAACCTGTAGCTCATACCTGTTCAGTTTTCCAAAGCTGGCCAGAGCAGCCCACAGTCGACCTGTTTTTAGCAGTAAATTAGTGATATATTTGGGTCAGGGACTGGTTTGTCTGAGAATCAGAGTAATAAATTGTCCACTTCATCTATCCTTTTTTTACATAAATAATTTTATCATATTCTTTCCCTGTAAACAAACGAAAGCAACGTCAGTCTGTTACGTTCATCCCTGTATTTGTCTGTTCTTGAATTAATTTGTGTGCAACATGTTTTCTGCCTCTTCCTCCCACCAGCTGATAGCAGGTCTCAGGTGCAGAGGGCACGGTATGAAGCAGCTAACTGGATGTACAAATATGGCTATGAGATCCCTGTGGACATGTTGTGCAAACGCTTGGCAGATATCTCCCAAGTCTACACGCAGAATGCCGAGATGAGGCCGCTAGGCTGCTGTGAGTTACGTGCATGTGTTTTTCTTTAGCAGAAACATCCTGAATAATGTTCTTCCATGACTAGAGCTTGTGAATGCTTTTATTTTAACATCACAGTTTTGTTTTTATGAGATATGGTTTAGTGTTCCATTTTTGTGTAAATTTTGTTTTAGAGGGTTTAAATTACAGCTTGATTTTTTTATATATCAGCACAAAATATCTGCTATCTGCAGCTCCAATTCACATATTATATCTTTGAAAACTGATCAAGCTCCTGCAGGCTGTTGAAGCTGTTCATGGGTAACATAAACAGCTTCAACAGCCTGCTTGATCAGGCACTTTAAATCTTACAATGATTCCAAATGTTTTGACAAATGAAAATGTATTCTTTGTCCCAGTTGTTTGAATAGATGTCATTGCCTCTTTCTCTTTGTTTCTGTTGTCCTGTCTTCATGCCCCTCTGCCCTGCATCCTTCCCCCAGGTATGATAGTGGTCGGACTGGATGAAGAGTTGGGTCCGCAGTTGTACAAGTGTGATCCAGCCGGCTACTACTGTGGCTTTAAGGCCACAGCAGCTGGAGTCAAACAGACTGAAGCCACCAGCTTCCTAGAGAAGAAAGTCAAGAAGAAACTGGATTGGACCTATGAGCAGACTATAGAGGTATGGGACATATCTGTGGAATTTATGGAACGTCATGGATCTTTTGCGGGAATTTCTTTGGCAGGGAATGTCAGGGAGTTTTTTGGATGTCAGAAAATGTCTGGGAGTTTCACAATTGTGTCACCGTATTAGAGTGTTACTGCATTACTTGATGGTTTTCTGACAACTGGAGTGGAAACCAAACTGTTGGAGCCATTGAAGGAATGTATATTTAAGTTATGGATTTAGTTATACAAATCAGGGAAGAATCCTGATATTGATATACATTTATAAAATAAAAAAAAACTAAAAATGTTGTTTTTAATATTTTCCAGATGAATGTAATCTCCTATGAAAAAGAATAAAAGGTCAAAGCTACTAGATAGATGGATGGATGGATGGATGGATAGATAGATAGATAGAGACACACACACACACACACTTTATTGATCCCAAGCTGGGAAATTGCAGTGAATATGTCACCCAGATCTAAATTGAATGATAAACCTACATTTCGCAATGGCCCTTGCTTATTCACAGTTGAATGTTTGTTGGTAGACAAGAAGAGCAGGTGGACAAACATATGTGCCGTGGTTATATTTATTTCTTTAGGAGGTTCAACATCTGTTAAAATGTTAACAGCTGTTGTAACACAGCTGTTCCTTTTTAGTTTTGTTTTTTTTGTGGAAACATTGAACATATTTTCTATCAAATGTGTAAGCATAGGCTTTTATTCACTCATTTACCTTAACAAATAGAAGCATAGCTTTTATACATTATGTTCCATTTTTCTAGATTATTTGACACTGTGAGCTTCTCTCTGCTTCCAAATGCATCCATTTCTCAGATGCAATGTTTAATTACCTTCCCTCTCCTCCCCACCCTGTCATGCTTATCAAAACAGACGGCTATCTCATGTTTGTCAACCGTGCTTTCCATCGACTTCAAGCCATCAGAGCTGGAGGTGGGAGTTGTCACTACAAAGGAATCCAAATTCAAGTGAGTATTTTCCTGAGAGAAAATATCTTGATAGCCACGAGTAAGGAAAATGGTCCTGGCCACAGGTAAATTACTGCCCAGCTGCTAGTTTAAAAGGGTGTCGCAGTATAAAAGTGAACCAGGGTGCTGCAGAGAAAAGGTAGATGGATTTAGCCAGACTTCTGGATAATGGATAGATTTTACAAAAAAAACAGAAAAAGCTGTTCAACAAAACATGCAGTTCTGAACAGATACCACTGCTCTTGCTTTTAAAGCCTTGCAGAGCTCTTTTTCTTTTTTTTGTAAGTTTTGTAATGGAAATTCCCTCAAACTAAAACCACAGATAAGATCAAAGTAAGGGCTTACATGGTTGAATGTGTTCTCAACATGTCTGTTTGTGTGCAAGGAGTACAAAATCCGACACAACAAAATTTATGACCATTAACTCGTGTGTTTGTGTTCCAGGATTCTGTCAGAGTCTGAGATCGACATTCACCTGGTGGCTTTGTCTGAGAGAGAGTGAGGAAAGTTGGCAGCCATTTTGCTGCCGTCTGCATTATTCTGAAAGGATGATGAACGGCAACCCCACCTCCTCCACACAAAGGTCTTGTCCAGAAGCAAGGTAAAGGAGGAGTTGGTATCACCTTGTTCCGGAGAGGTGGTATTACACATTGAACTGAATAAAGAACAATATGACCCTTTTTTTACCAGGTGGGTAAAATACATTACCCATCTGCTCCGGCACTTCCTCCTCCAACCTCTCTGGTCATACCCAGTGCCTGACTGGACACAATATTATCCATATATCGACCCCATTTTCCTTCCAGCCACGCTGAAACATCCTTACTGAGGGCAGCTGCCAAATGGCATAAAGCCTGGAAAGATACTGGACATTCAAATCTGTCAACCATATAACACATGAGTCTGATATGCTCCGTGGTCGCTGATGGTGTCAGACAGCCACAGTGCCCTCTCTGGATGGAGCTCGGCCCAAAAGACTTCAGTTGATGAGTGTGACATGAGCAGATTGGAAGACAGGGGTGCAGTAACACTACAACTACAGCACAATACCTCCTAATACCTCTTACTTTGTAAGGACTTGGTGGTCCTGCAGCTTCTTGAGTCACTGTATTTCAACAGTGCTTTCAGTCTTTACTCAGGGCTGCCACGTGTATCTGTCTCAGTTTATTCATCAGCTTTAAAGCCTTCGCTGTCCTTAGTTTCAGCATGATGTTTATGACCTGATGTACTTTGTGATAACCCAGGGAACAGCTGTGGGAATTCTCCCATTGCGACAGTCATCCTTGTCACACCCCTGCTGAAGTCTGCTCAGGTCAACGTCAATGGGAAGTCTCTAATTATACCATTCTCTCCCTTGTGTTTTGATCCTCCTCTCCTCCGCTCACTTTGATGTACATTTCTGCACTTCTATTAAACAGTGTTTGTATCGAACACTTACATTTTGTGTTTCGTTTTCTTTGCATATTGGTGCTTCTAGCCTCCACATTAATCAGCCCTCATTCATTTTATATTTTTGCTGTGTTGGAAGTGCTGCTTGTGGATGGGCTGAGTCTAAGTGCTGGAGTATGAGTCATTGGTAGAAATATCACTAGTACTTGCACTGCTGGTATGATATTTGGATATAAAACTGACTTGATGTGCCGCAGTCTTTCAATATTAGGGTGTGCAGGGTCTTAAAACGTCTTAAATACCAAAATCTGAATTTTAGGGTTTAAAATCAACATTACTTATAAAGTTATAAAGTTGCATTTTTCAGTCTCGCTATTAAATGTTTTTTGGGGAAAAACTTTTGATTATGCTGTAACAATTACCAAATGAAGCAATACAGATTTTACTTTATATCATATTCATATTGTCTTTTTTTTCATGGATGTGAAATAGGCCTGTTGACACTTGCAGAAACCCTGAATATGCTTTTACTATATTTAGTCAGCCATGATCACATTTAACATATGGTATATGACATTTTTGATATATTTAATTGGGAAAAGTAATTTAGAGTGTCTACAGAAGAATTTAGACACATTAAAAACATCTTGAGATATTAGTATTTTGTTGTAAAATCCCTCGTATTTATCAGTCTATTATCTATCAGCGTTGAGTGTGAATGCTCCATTGTAAATTTAGAGAGGAAATCTACAATACAATCATAGAATTCCTTAAGTGTATTTAACATTGACGTTAGAGTAAAACTCCCTTCCTCCCCATTTCCCCATACTTCACTGAAGCATCCTGTTATTCAGTGTCCCTTTTTTGGAGGAATGAGAAGTAGGAATGTCGTGAACAGCTGAGTGTTCTGTTCCTGGGAATTTCCTGTCCCTTCCCTCTTGGCCCCACCCTGCCGAAAACTTCCTGATTTAGAGGACTGAGCAATCGGCCAAATCGACACACAAAGTTTCCCTGTGCATCTTATCTCTTTTTACGCACACACCCAGCAGGAATTCAACTGACCATCAGTTCCTCATTCAGTGGAAACAAGTTGTGTTATCAGCACTTCCCTGCATGACATGTATTATATGAAAATAAAAGGTGGCTGCTCAGAACTGAAACTCTGTTGTCATGCTTTGATGGAGGCATTTTTTTTTCTACAAACAGACACGCTGACGGCAGGAGAAAGGCACGTGGTTGAGGTAATTTCCCGTATAATTGCAGCCTTGTAGTATTGTCAGGTGCTGTGGATTATATGCTGGGTTCTTTATGATCTTTATAGTGATATGACCAAGATCGTGATGTGAAAGCATTCTTGTCCAAACTGCCTCAGTCAGGACCAACTGCCATTTTCCATGTCACATGCCATCTGTTTCCCCTTCATGCCACCCCTTCCCAGTCTCCACAAATACATTCACAGTTGTTTTTACTGTTAAATATGAGTGTTTTTAATTTAACTGGAGTGTGCTGGTTTGCTGTCTGACATATACAACCTACTCAACTGTACACATTCACAGCTTCCATAAAATATACATCTTTGTATACACAGCATTTACAATATCATACAACAGAGCTGTTACAGGTACATCTGTGTGGATGGATGTTTTCAGTGACAAATGATTTGCAGTGTCCACAAAATACAAGCAATCCCCCATCATAATGTGTCATGTATTCACATCTCAGCGTGCGTCTTGCTCCCCTGCAGCCTGGAGCCGTGGACTCGTTGGTTTATTCGGCCATCGGTCTCCGTCTGATTCTCCTTCACTGCTGCCTGTCCACCACTTTCTTGTCATTGGTCACGCCCGTGCCGTGTCATTCACACTATCGGGCTTATGACGTTATTGCAGGAAGCAGTAGACATGCCGAGCCATTTCTCTTGCCCTTTACAGTCATTGCCGCAGCTTCTGTAACTTCCTCCTCTGTCATTTCCAGCTAATGTCCATTCCACTGAATGTCGTCATAACCCACCTGTAACCACACAGAGGTCAGAAAAATGGTTATACGCTGGCCAGAAATCAGATTTTAAAGTTACAGTGAGAGCTCTGCATTCTCAGCACACACCTCATCAGACTCCTCGTCCTCCTCTTCCTCGCTGTCGTCTGATTCGCTGTCAGGCAGCTCCCTCAGGTCAGATTTGGTCAGCGAGTACAGCTCTTGCCTGATGTCGTCGTTGTCGCGACCGTAGGTGAGGTGGTAGGGAGTGTGACCTCCAGAGGTCAGGAGGTTGGGGTCCGCGCCTTTCTTCAGCAGCAGTTTCACCAATGAGAGATTCTGCTGGTCCACGGCCAGGTGCAGTGCACTGCGCCCGTTACGCTGTTCCTATAGGACAGAGAGAGAACACAAGATTTTATTAGCACCAGGTGTTAGACCATAATGTAATATTTTATTCTGAAATGTACACATACTGCTGGTGATTCTATATTCTAAGTATATAAAGTGTGTATTCTCACATATAGATATGGTGCATGTGTGCTGTTTACCTTTGCATTAATGTCAGCTCCAAGATCCACCATGCTCTCTACCAGTGAGAGGAAACCCTGAACTGAGGCCAGGTGGAGGCAGTTCTGACCTGTAAAACAAACATCAAAGGAAGATCTTAACAACTGACACCAGACCAGTTATTTTACATCTGCAGTTTTCAAGGAAAAGTCTATTAGCTATATGTGAATTTATATTAATCTGTCCTGTTATTGCAGATTACTAAAGGAAAGAAGACTCCCATATATGGTCATTGTCATTTAATATGACAAAATTAGTAAAAAAAAAAAAAAAAAACATTCCTTAAGGAAATCTACAAACCAGACAACAATGCCATACTCTAGGCTAAAATATGTCCACACACACACACACACACACACAAAGTCTAAAACTGGAGTCCTCCACATTTCTATTTGGAGCCGTAGCAGCTAACATTATGTGCCATGTAATAGATGGGTTTTCGTCAGGGTGTGATGGCATGAATGGCTATGGCATTCCCCTTGCTTGTTTAAATATTTCCTTCCTCCTAAACATAGTGTTCGTGCCCACCACTCCTTCTTTTAAATACTACCTAAGACCAGCAGCAGACTGGTCAGTCTGGTCTGTTTCCATGCACCAAGGGTGGGCCACCACAGAATGGAAACCACCACTGCTATAGCATACTACGTTCTAATACTGAAATTTCAAACATTTTTGTTTCTCTATGTGTAAAAACATAGTTTGTCCAAAGTGGGAAAAGAACTCAGTTCAGGGGAGAAACACTGTTCTTGTCCTACAATCTCACCATGATAGTTGCAGGCTGCCATCACCGTGTGGAGATTCTCTGGCTGACAGTACTGTGTGATCACACTGAAGCACAGCAGGTTACCATGGCGACAGGCGATGTGAAGCGGCGTGTCCCCGCTGTCGTCCACCAGCGTGGGGTCGCAGCCGGATAGCAGGAGGCCCTGACATACGTCCGCCTGGTTTGTTATCACTGCTAAGTGGAGAGGAGTCTGGGATGGGAGGAAGTTAGGAGAAAACGGGTGAGTTACTGAGTCGGCGGGCATTTTCATTACTCTTTCTGTTAAGATAAGACTGTTTTATCAAAATGTTCCTTTTAAATCCTGTTCAGAGGCGGCTCTCGCATACCTGTCGCTGGTCATTTTGTGTGTTGAGGAAGTCTGTGTTCCTGGACAGGTCTATCATGGTTTTGATGTAGTCCTTGGCCTCGTGGATGATGGCCAGGTGGAGAAGCCTACAGAAACAGAGAGAAAGAGAAAACCTGTTACCAAACACATGCATAACACTTGACATTGTGTAAACAAGTAAATAACAGGAAATGCATACACCTGCTTGCCTTATTCCTAAGGATTAAAGTGCAAAATAATGAAATAATAATAATAGACATGTAACAGTTTGACTTTGTGCTAAATCAGGTAGCATTAATGCAGAATATCAGATCGGCCCTGAAAATGCTGACCACCCTGTGTTTGACTTGAACTGATCTCTGAAATGATCTCTCTCCATGCAGTTTATTCCATACTGAGTTATGTAATGGTTTTAATCTACACTTTGAGAGTTTGGTTGGTGTAGGAGCAGTGAAGTGTTCCCCTGGTGCGAGCTTACATTGTCCTCAGACTGCTATTACAATCATTCCAACCACTGTACCATGGTTTCATGCTTCATTGCTCTGTATGAGACAGTTCTCAGTCCTCAGGTCTGATCAATAGCACATCATTCATGCACGTGCTATGACACAGCACATACTGAGGTTGAACTGAACTGAATTGTGTCGAACCAAAATAACATTTGCAGTCACTCTTAATGTTATTCCCCCTGGGTTTTATAATAGCAGCGAGCCGCAGACGCGTATGGCAGAGCGGACTGTGGCCCTCAGCCTCCACACACTTGTGTTTGTGTAATTTAAGGTACTTTTTCTAGTTTCTTTTTTGTACTGCTTCTCGCTTCACGGGAGCGCGCTTCGGTCGGATTCCTTGGCGGCGCGCCCGGGACTTTCCCAGTCTGACCCGCGGCCATAGTAGATTCCCTCCTGATAATAGCCTTTTGTTTACGTCCAATACCGCAGTGTCTGACCACAGCAAGGCCCATTGTCACAACCGGACACCCGTTCTGTGTATTTTTAACACTGCGGCAGCGTACTTTTATAAGCCCCGACGCTTCAAACGTTAAACCCCAGAGTCAGGCCCGGGCCTGTGGATTGTACTGACAATCTGGAGGAAGACATTCCCCACAGGAAAGGGATCAAATTACCTTTCAAGACCCGAGCTGGGCCTACTCAGGCGACGCTTCCAAAAACTCATAAACATCCCCGTGCTTAAGCCGTGTAACGTTATTCCCGGTCTAACTTACGTGTCTCCGTCCTCTGTGATCTGTGTTTTCCATTCGTGCAGCTCTCCGGTTACAGCGGGGTCTTGTTTGTGCAGCGGAGGCTCACATTCCAGCTGGAGCCGACGGATCTCGGCCGCCACAGCCTGGTACTCCTCTTCTTTCAACGAGTCGAGACCGCTGTCGAGCCGCTCCTCTGTCGACTGGGCCGGCTTCCCTTCTTTAGACTCCCGACTGTAATCCATTTGGTTCAATATACTGGTCCGGTGGAGGTCCATGGTGGTGTGTTGTTCGAGACGAGGTGCGTTTGGTTATCTTGTGACGGCGCTGTGCAGCAGTCTGTAAATGCCCTCTGTGTGGCTGCAGTGGGGCGGAGCTAACAACTAGGTGGGGGATTTCCACAAAACTGTCACTTAGAATAACACACAGCATACAGATTGCTGGCTCCAAGAGGGGATTTCTATTGAGACACATAAATATACTCAGTTTGTCACCAACAGAGCACCGACATTTTGCAGGTCACACTTGCTGCACGTAAAATACACATTTCTGCAGCGTTTTTAGTGGCACCTCTCCACAACAAGTGTGCATTTTCTCTCAAGCCTGCAGCTCAAAGTTCAAATCAGTTGTTGCATTGAAAGCATTTTTCTTAGTTCTTATGCAAACTGTGTTGTGTTTAATCGAACATATGCACTTCTAAGTCCTAACCTGGTCCAAAGTAAGAGGAGGAAATCACCTTTAAAGCCACATCATTGCTTCAACAGATAAAATGCTAATTCTACAGGAAGGGAAACACTAATGTCCTGGCGATCAGAACAACTGGAGGTCATAAGCATATATGTTTTATATTTTTTTCTTTCTGGTTGCACGCGTGTTGTCGCATTATTTCTGCTTTTTACATGAGTGAGGGATGGATGCATGGAAAGTCCTGAAACTGCAGCTTCATTAGCAAGTCTGCTGAGTCACATGAACAAAAGGAACAGTTGCCCCTTTCTGTTGTTTTGAGTGGGTGGGAAGACCTTCAGGAGGGGGGGGGCGCAGCATGCACAGGACTTTCCTCCAAAACTTGAAGTGCGATTGTGTGAAATGTGCTTTCAGTTGGTTTATCATGCTGCTGAACGCAAGAACAAACCAACAGGCCTGCAGTGGAGTTTCCCTCACATCCTCACATCTTGACCACATGCTCAGTTAAAATATATAGTTCACTCTGATATAACACTGACAGCTTTTTATTCTTGTTGTCAGAGGATGTTGCTGTAATAAATAATATGTGCCTTATGTTTGTGTGTGCTCTCAGAGATCACAGTGCCATTGCATGCATAGACTACTTGATTTTGTATTTAACTATTCCTGGACATACTGAATGATACCACTACTGATTTATTTACTTTTTAACTGAGAAGAGGATTAAACTCCCACTAATCCCCTCACAGTGCCTCTAATCACCCAGTATCATATCACTCATTCAATTCCTTTGCAGATAAAATGGAAGGACTCCAAGTTCTCGATAAGGCCGCGAGACTTCACGAGGCTGTGACCTATCCCTTTAAAAACAAACATCAAGTTGAACGTGATGTTCTGGAGGCCTGAGGGAAACTCCGGGCATGTTTTACCTCCCATTGTTCAGGCTGTGTGACCAGTTAGACTGGGAAGCTCAGTCTCCGCTCTCAGCACATTTTCACTGTCACGTTAGCAACTGTTGAGCAACATATTAGGATTTTGGTCAGGAAAGTGCACTGACACATGCAAGTGCATTGTGTTTCAACTATAAAACAGCTTCTGCAGAGAATATTGTGCACTGTGAAGTAGAGTAAGGTATTTACCATGTTACACAATGTTGAATTATGAATAATTTACTGTGCAACAATTTTCATTTTGACATTGCGTTCTGCTTCTGTGTGTCAGTTTTCTAAGGCAAGAATGGAAACATTGTAGAGGTGAAAATAGAGCATACAAGCCACAATCACATTCACAGCTCATTCTAAACATGTATTATGTATCTGGCCTTATGATCACAGTCAGCTTTGAATGCAGAGTGAAAACAAGACCTCTGTTTGAACCAGAATGAGGCAGATGAATGGAGGAAAGGAATGGAGGACTTGGTAACAAAGGGGAAACAAAGCAGTTAAACACAATTGCATAACACTTTATGTATTTAGGCAGAAGGAACATTCTGCTTTCTATTTGGGAGTTAATAGTTATAATCAGTCACTCTATTTTTACATTTTGAAACTTTTTAGAGTTTTTTTATGTTAGTGGATAATGTTTTTTTTAATGTTTTATGTGGATAAAGATCTAGACAAGGAATCAAACCAATCTATGGTATCTATGATGTTTAAGCCCTTTGCTTCTTCTTCCGTTTAAATGCAGATATGTGTAACTGATGCCGATATGATTGGAGTTAGCGGAACTGAATCATTTTGACCGGAAACCAGTCAGATGAAACCAGTGCATCTTGGCATCATTACGGTAACTGAGAAGAAAGTCTGAAAGAACTGATGCTCAAAACAGTACAGAAACAAAATAATAATATGTTGAACACATGTCTAAACCTTTTACCGTCAGCCTCCCAAGACATGGAAGGAAGTAACTACACTTGCTTAAGAAATGGATGTCCTGGATTTTGTTTTTGTGTAATCAGTGTTTTTCTGTGGTGTCTTCCAGCTGGTTTTTCTGGGCTTTTTAACATGTAACCTGAGTCATCAACACTTACCCAGATGACCTATTAATTGTTGGAGTGTGGTCGAACTGGAAAACATGGGGAATGGAAACAGAGAGGGTGTTATCAAGTCTCTGATAAGCGCTGTCTTTATGATAGCTCTGTCTCTGGGGTTTTGGAGAGAAAGGATTCAGTATAATGACCTCTTTTTTTCATGTTTTTAATATCTGATTTTTATTTATTTATTTAAGCTTTTACTGGAACAAAGTACAAGGAAGTGAGTTGAATAAAAGCCAGATATTTTTCTTGGCACCCTAAGGTTTTCTCGCGGTAACAGTAAAAATAATAAAAAAAAACACACTGATCACACAAGAGAAAACATGAAAGAGGAACAAAAGCGGCAAAATGACATTGGCATAATAATAATAAAACTGCCCGTTTCTGGCATTCAGTTTTGCACATTACTTGGAACTTGTTTCTTTAAACCA